TATACTTCTATATTTCACTCAATAGATGACCAATTAGAGAATCTTAAGCAGATAACATATATCCCAGATTTGCATGATGCACAGATCACTATCATCACAGTGAGAAGGGAGTCAGGGATTTATACTATAAGGAAGGGAGAGCAGCTAGGAGAATGTTTTCAATAATCCCGATGTCTAGGACAATCATTTTAGGATAGGGGAGGATGAGAAAGAGAGTAAAACTGTATTTAGGAGGTAACATTTGCAAGGCATGGCGATTTAGATATGGTACTAAGAAAAACGAAAAGGTTTGGGTTTCTGCCTGGGGAACTGATAGAATGCTGTTATTGCCTGAGATCATGGTAAATCCAAACAGTAGATTTTAGGGAAGGGGTGAGATAATGAGTTCATTTTGAAACATACAGAGTTTGTGCTGCCTGTGGAATATCCCAAAATGTTAATATTAACTACATCCGGAAATTTGAAAAAAATATTTATGTTACAAATCTTTATATTAAGCAATTCATTTTTAAGTATCTTTGTCATCATTATTATGAAGAGATGTCCTTCACTATACAGTAACACATATTAGTGATGTGAGAATGAGTAACAAATATAGAGAAGTAACAAATTACGGCCCCCCAAAAGCTATGAAAAGGGTCAACTCTAGAAGTCATATGTGTCTAGCCCTTCCTTTAACAAAAGAGACATTTTAGTGCTTAAAGTCCATCTAGCTCTGGAACAGCAATGTCCAAAAAATAAACATGTATTCCAGAAACAGAGCTGAGCTCTTACCACTGGTTGTACTTTTTCAAAATTAGGAAACACGGGGCGCCTGGGTGGCGCAGTCGGTTAAGCGTCCGACTTCAGCCAGGTCACGATCTCGCGTTCCGTGAGTTCGAGCCCCGCGTCGGGCTCTGGGCTGATGGCTCAGAGCCTGGAGCCTGTTTCCGATTCTGTGTCTCCCTCTCTCTCTGCCCCTCCCCCGTTCATGCTCTGTCTCTCTCTGTCCCAAAAATAAATAAACGTTGAAAAAATTAGGAAACACTATGAAAGAGGGAAGAAGCCTGTTTCTGCCATATAAACAATGTCTTATCAAATTATTATAAAACCTTTATGAATACCAAATACTGTAACACTACAGAATATTAGCATGTGGAATTTATTTAAAAATTTTTAAACTTCTCGTTTAGGATGACATCGACTTTGTATATTTAAGAACGTGTACATTTAGAATAATTGATAAACTCTGTTGATGGCAGAGACTAGAACCTCTATCTATATGTCTACACTTTACATCATATACTTTAAAAAATACCAATAATGTGCCTAATAATCAGCATCAGAGACACATAACTCCTGCCAGATTAACGGCCATGTATTAAATTCCAATCATGTACCAAAGACGGAGCGAGGCACCATTGGAACATACCTTTAAGTGCACTAAGCAGATCATTATTACCATAGCTCATATATGAGAAAGCTACGGTTTCGGTAACTTGCCTAACACCACACAGCTAGTGAGTGTGCAAATAAATTACTTCAGTACTCTTATTAACCATTATTAGAGTTCTCATTTGAAGAAAACTTGTCACATTTTCTATACCATAAAATCTTAACAAAGTTTAAAAAACTAACATACACAGTGATGAGATACAGAGCTGTTATATTCTAGTCATTCAAAGATTATAACTTCTCTCCTGGTAGGTAGATCATAATTTTTTTTAAAAGCATAAGTCCTTGACTTATTTATACATCGTTGCTCTCCATATCCATTTCATGCAGGACAAAAATTCAGTAAGTGTTTAGTGAATAAATGAGTAATAAAGTTTGAGCTAGCATATGCTCAAACAAATGTACTGCATTCTTTTAGCTACCACTTACTTATTCATTCCACTAATATTTACTGAGTGCCTACTATATGCCAAGTACTGTTGTTGGTACTGAAGATATAACATTAAACTATACAAATTGATTTTCATACTTTTACACTATTTGAGAGGAAAAGTACACTTGACATTGCAATTCTGAGACTTAACAAAAACCATATAAAAATACAAAACAGATTTAAAATAAAAAAAAATAAAAGGAGTTAAATTTCACAGAGTATTTTTTAAAAAAGCAGTAATATGTCCTCATTAAGTTGGATTTATCTAAAGAATACAGGAATCATTTAAGATCACAAAAATCTATCAATGAAACTTAATTAGTACATTCATGAGCTAAAGTATAAAAACCACAGAACTGTAGCAATATATTTGAAAAAAATCCAATAATATTCAACATTTATTTATATTCTTATAAAAAATTTACAGGAGCCTAGGAATAACTAGATAAAGAATATTTACCAAAAACTTATTGCAAACATCAGTTAATTGAGAAACATTAGATACATGCTGTTAGAGATCAAAAATGAAACAAGGATGCCTATTATCACCTTCCTGAACAACAAAGTAAGTAATGATGATCCTGGTCAATACAACAACAATAAAAAAACAATGTGATATATGGGTAGGAAGAAAAGAAGCAAGTCAGTATCTGTAGACATTATGAACAACCACACAGAAAATCTACTGAAAACCAAAAAAACAAACCATAATAACTAATAAAAGAGTTGAGCAAGGTTGCCAGATATAAGTTAACTTACAAAAATCGAGAGCATTCCTCAATATCAGCAATTACTAATTAAAAAGTAAGGTAGAATATTGTAAAAAAAACAAAAAAAAAAACAAAAAAAAAAAACTGTATTTTGCTACTACTTAAAAAATGCCCAAGACCATTAACATAGAAACAAAGCTTAACTAAATAATTTAAAAGTAGACTTTTTTCTTCCATGAATACCAAGAATTAGCAGTAGAAAGTTGTCAATTCTTCCCAAAATATATATAGAGATACTTAGTATATGCCCAAGGTATTCCAAGAACCAGTGGGCCATATACAGATTATGTAGTAGATAGGACTGGTAAAACTGAGTTCATCAAATAAAAAAAATTAAGTTGGATTCCTACACCTCATACTATAACTACAGTGAACCCAAGATGAATCAATATCAAAATGTAATGGGTAAAAGTTAAAGTTAACATAAAGGGAATGCCCTATGACATTGGAATAGAGAGGGGCTTTTCTTTTTTAAACAAGACTTAAAAAGTACAAACTACAAGGTTTAAATTGATGGACTTGATTATATCAAAATCAAGGACTCCTGTTAATGAAAGATAATATGGCCATAGTGTAAAGTCTATGGGCAAACTGGAAAAAAGACATTTGCAACATCCTCCATTGTCAATATGTACAACATAAAAGGAATTTCTGAAATTTCTCTTTCCAGAAAAGAGAAAAAAACAAAACAAGGAAGGCAAAACAAAACTGAACAAAGGTCAAAAATAGGCATTTCAGAGAAAAAAGATCTTAAATGATTGGGGAGTCTATAAAAAGCACAATGTTATCAGTGATCAAAGAGATGCAAATTAAAACAAAGAGACATCATTTGATACCCATCAGGTTATCAAAAATTAAAATTAAAATTATATATATACACCTTCTGACCCAGCAATTCCAACCTAGGTATAGAAACCTTGGAAACTTACACCCAAGTCCATACAGGGTCCTACTGATTACAGCAGAATGTTAGAAGCAATTTAAGAGTTGATCACTGAAGTAATAGATAAAACACAGCAAATGCAAACCATTTGTTAATAATCATGTAGAAGTGGGAGGCAATGAGTAAGACATATAGACTATAACAAGGTTAGATATTAAAAATAGGCTGAATAAAAAAATACAAGAAAAAACTAGATCCATAAGATAACACCATTTGAGTAAATTAAAAATACCTACATATACAAAATTACTCTATATTTTTCAAGGATACAAACACAACCATTACCAGACATTAAACATATTAGAGTTTGTATATTTGGAGATAAGAGTTGTGGGCTTGTGGATAGGGGATGAATGGAAACAAACAAGATAAAAAAATACAAGAGGGAGACTGATAGGAAATAACGATAATAGTGTGTTGTGTCACAAACTAAGATGAATATGATTTATTTAATTATTGGTACCTGAGATTGAAAAAAAAATTACTTATTTTAGGTGCCTTGAGACAACTCAATCTATGACCTCCTCCATCTTTATAGAACAAGGAATGACAGATGGAGACAAGGGGTGGAGAGGGAAAAGAAGGGAGGAGGGGAAAAGGAAATTAGCAAGAAGTGGGAGGATGAAGGAGAGGAGAAAAAATTACCAAGTCTTCCCAAACTAATGGAAATCACCCCAAAATACTCCAGCCATGAAGTCCATAGACCAGTGTCCCAAACTGTCTGGAGTAACAACTAAGTGACACTATATTAGATATATGAAGAAAGAAAATGTGTAACAGACTTAAGTAAGACTTACTCCATCATATTATAAAACAACCTGATAGAATCTTTATAGAACTTTGTTATTAAAAAATACCAATAATGGACTTCTCTCATCAATTGGTCTTTAATGATACTTTGGCTTCCTAGTTTAATTTTTTGATTGCCTTTATATCTGTATATCTGCACGTAGGTGACTACCAAGATAGAGAAAGGGCTATTTCTTATAATACCATTAACACCCATAATAATTTCGCCCCCAGAGAGGTTTCTCTTTGCATAGGAGTAAGTGTCATCAGGAATAAAAAGATAAACAGTTTTTACAAATATTATTTTAATATATAAAGATAGGTTGTTATTTAAATAACTACATCATTAAATTAAGAATAGAAATCTGAGTGTGTGACTATTTCTAGGTATAATCTTATTATTTGTTGATGACTGATAGAAATTAATGTTATTTGCTTAGCTCAATTACATGGCAAACAAAAGATTCAAGAAGAAAAGAAAGGATTCTTTTTTTGTAATTAATACTCCTTAAATAATAGTTTCTTTTGTCTTACTCCTAATAATAATAAAAAGAAAAACTATAAAAAATGAGAAAGAAGAGTTTTGAACTCAATATACCTCTTTATTAGGCAGAGCTAGATAAAGACTCACCAGGACAGAATATATGTGTAGACATCGATAAACAGGAGAGAAATCCACCAAATCTTGGGCTCCAGGTACCTGCAAGACAAACAAAATTGTCACAAAATATTCAAACAAAGCTATTAGGAGCATTAAACTGCATTTATTTTTTTATTACTCAAGTGTAAAAAAAATAAAAGTCAGCTCTAGTTTCTAGGAGAAAAACACAAAACAAACAAACAAACAAACAAACAAACAAACAAACCATGCTCTCATAAACCCAGTTTGGGTATTTTAACCATGAGATTAATAACCGAAGATAGCAAGGCTGACACAGAACAGAAGGATGAAAACAGAGAAGAGTAACAGAAGATGTCACTGGCCCTGCATCTGCTTTTAGAGATGTATTTCAGGCTATGGGCCTCCAAAAGGGATGAGAAGATGGTAACATGACTTTGACAACTTGACTGTATCTTCTTGGACACATGGTAGGCTACATACAAGACTGTTTCAGGAGTGCCTGAGTGGCTCAGTCAGTTACACGTCTGACTCTCGATTTTGGCTCAGGTCATGATCTCATGGTTGGTGAGTTAGAGACCCGCGTCGGGCTTTGTGCTGACGGCACAGATCCTGCTTGGGATTCTCTCTCTCCATCTCTCTCTGCCCCTTTCCCGCCTATACCCTTACCCACGCACACATGCTCTCTCTCAATCTCTCTCTCTCTTTCTCTCTCTCCCAAAAATAAACAAACATTAAAAAAAGAAAAAAAAAAAAGAAAAAGACTAAGTTTCAGTGGTCAAAACCAAAACTTGCTGCACAGGATGAATTAAACGGCCTGCCAGCCAACTTCTGAAGGACATAAGAATTAGTGAATATTTACGTCAGCATGCAATCAAAATACCAGAAAATTATAGTACGAACAATGTAGACAGATTAAATCTAGACATCAAAAGGCAAAGTAAAACAAACAACATTAGGTAAGAACTGGAGATAGTCACAGTGCTAAAACTGTTTGGTTATGTGACCTGACAATGAGTAACTAACAATTTACTTTGGCCTCAATTTCTCAACTGAAAAAGGAAACTATTGCCTATATTGTTGACCTATAGGAATTAAATAAGAGTAAAAGGACACAAAGTAAATACTGAACAAAACAAAATAAAGCAAAAACAAAACAGACAAAAGTGCATTAAAAATAATCAAAATAAAGACCTAGCTGCAGGTTTTACTGTAACACTGCTAATTGTAGGATTCATCAGAATATAAGCAGCAGGCACTAAATTGGGTTGAGCGGACTTGTGAATACAAAGTCTGTTTCCTCATTTCATCAAGCAGGATCATTTCTTCTTTGGTGGCATAGCTTTCTTCACCAAGATGCTTTTCCAAAGAAATCTCCTCATTCTACAACTCAGCAGCCCAATACTTTATTATCTCTCCAAAATCATCATCTCTCTACATTTATTGGTTCAAATTTATTGACTATTTTGTTCATTTGCTTTGCACCCATGATAGCACACTAAATCTCTATGTTTAAGAATCTCTCAGGGCTATATACTCTGAAATCACTCAAAACAATCTCCTATGAATCCTAAGTTTGATCATAAGATCTACGTCATGGTCTAAGCATAGATATATTAAAAAAAAAAAAAAGCAATTAGAAAAGTCAGCATTAAAAAATCACTGAGAAAAACATTTTATGGACAGATAAGCACCATGTATTTAAAAACAAAAAGATTAAAAAGCATGTAAAAATTAAGGACACTCGTTTTCATCTTAATAAAACAAAAAGAGGCAACAGATGATCATTTTAGGCAGTCTTATTTTAAACGGCCACAACATCAAAATATCTTTATAGTCTCCTCTCTGGAATTGCAAAGTAAAGATGTGAAAGAAATTTATCTTGCCAGAAAAACAGAGCCTACTAATGAAAACTACAACTAAGCAAAATACAAGCTCAAAAGATGAAAACTAAAATTATATTAATAATATTTAAACTACATAAAAATTACACATACATATGAAAAGAGATAAGAACACATGTAAAATAATTTTGATCTGTATAAGAAATGAAACTTTTCTTTAGAATGAATGATTATAAATTTATTTACAATAAATTATATACTTATAAAAAGCTTAAGGATATTTAAATAAATTTCAATCACAACTTTGTTCATATGTTCATCTTTACATAGTTTATTTATTTTGTTTTGCTTTGACTCAGGACCATTAGTTTCATTCAAAAGGAAACTGCTCCCAAGCCATTCCTCAGACAGAGGCCTGGCCCCTTCACATGTCAGGCCCATCCTTATAGAATGAACATCCACATTAGGGGACAGTTTCCCCTAAAAATCTGTGATGAGTAAGCTAATGGTGCACCTTTCTAACGGGCTAAAAAGAATGGTTTATCTGGGCCAACCAAAAAATACATATATTTAGAGAGGACAGAAAGATTTTCCTGTCAGCTCCAGCAAATATTTACAACCAAACCTATCTTCTGTGAGGCTGTCTTGACATCATCATCCTCAGCTTCAAACAGTTTGAAGTGACCTGACCCGGAAGTATTGGCTTTGCTATTTCTTAGCCTCTGCAACCATAATTCAGTTAAGTCCTCCCCAGCCAAGGACTGCCTGCTTTGAAAGCGGTACACAAATGTAGACAAGAAAAGGAGCAAAATGGGGCTTCGGTTCACAAACTTTACCTCCACCCCCAAAATAGCCTACTATTTAGAAATCATTTTTCCTCCATGCTCCCTTCTGTGAAGAACACTAGGAACACTGCAAGGAACCAAGAAGAGTGCTGTGAGGAGAAAGGTATGTAAAGCATGCACTGACTCATGTTGCTTTGAGCTAGATGTGTTTTCTCTGCTTCCACTAATGAAAAAGAATCACATCTACTGAAAGGCAAAAGGAAGAGGGCAACATACGCTGTACGTGAAGGAATGCCATACGTTTGGAAGGATAAGAAATGAACTTTCAAAACTAAATAAATGGGAGTGGGAAAGAGAACAAAAGGCAGCTTCTCCTGACTCACATAAACGGGTCTGTTTTAAGGTCCACATTTTGCTCCCCATTTAAAATGCAAAATCTCTGTCAAGGTTGTCTTCATTCTTCTTCCCCTCCTGTTTGCCCTTCTCTCCCCTCAAGTGCAAAGAATGATTCAAGCAGGTTTAGGTTTCAGCTGGGGCAGAGGGAGGAGTCCAAGGACACTTTCCTAAGCTAACAATGACTGTCCCTAATGGTTTCTGTCTCCTAACAAAAGCCATGACTCCGTCTTTATCAGCTTCATCTAATTTTTCCTTTCCAAAGTAAATAACATAGCCCTTGCATTTTACACATGTCCAAGTTTGACAAATCATTATCGACTGGGACTATAACTGATAAGAGATAACTTTGTGGTAGGACGTTGTCATTTCCTCTCATAAGGGCTTTCTTTCTGAGATACAGAAACATGATTAAAATAGTTAAACATTTCCTCTGCCTGGCAGTCAGGAACTCAAGACATTAAGATACTGGAGTCTGTATTTTTCTAGTTCAAATAGATCTATGAAGATACCAACAGCAGCCACAAACAGTATACTCAAGATTATCCTGCCTTTTTAACTAGTTGTTTTCCTTATGAATTCACATGAAATAATTTCATCACCAAGGACAGCAGCTGCCCCATTCCCTATATAGTTCCTGAATGGAGGGCATTAGTGCCTTCTGTCAACTCAAACCTCTTCATTATCAGAGAAGCAAATACTAGGTTAGATTTTAGATTCTGTAACTAAGAAATTTGTGCCTCAGGACATGTTATAATATTATATAAGTTAAGATATTAAAATAACATAAATAAATAAGCTATCAAGAGAATTTAGGAGTGACTGGACTATAACATTCAGGGGTAGATATCATGAAGACAACTGTTACGCGCTACAATTATGCATTCACACACCCATTAGAGGTCATGTATCACCAGATACAAATATACATGGCTAGTCTGTTTCAGTATGCTTCTTACATTTGTAGGATACATATTAATAGCTTCCATCAAAGCTGTAGTTTTTGTTACTTATTGTCTGTAGATTTTGTTAAATAGCATCATATCCTATCGATACATTAGCTATCACACAGTGCCACTATACAGGTGACAAAAAAGAGTCTGGAGGCAGAGGATGCTGTAAAATAAGAAAAGTAAATTCATGAATAGGATCAATGAAAGGCACCCTGACTTAGAATCAATGAAAGGCACCCTGAAAAAAAGTCTTATGAGACTCTGCAGACCATGTATTGGAGAAGATGATGTAAAGATGCAGAGTAGAAATGGACATATTAGATGGTCATAAAGAAAAGAAGAATAAACATTTCTGATTATAAAAGTTCTTGCAAAACAGCAGGATCTGACTTTTATGATGTTTTTCTTCTCTAATACATCTTTGTATTAGACAAAGATGACAATTGAAAATTGACAATTGAAAATTGAAAGGTTACTGGTTAAGTTCTTTCCATAAAGAATAAGGAAAAATGATTGTATTTCTTAAAGAAAAAGGAGATTTTTATTTTAAAATAAGTGACATCAAGCTTTAACAGATACATTTATTTAACATTTTTATACCACCTTTTCCCCCCAACAAGGGAGTTGGAAGTTAGTAGCTACTTCTAGTGAAGGGAAGCAGGAAAGAAAAAAATCTGCAGGTAACAATATCATGGATCTACCTGCTTTACTAACAGGTAAGCATATCGTTAAGAAAAGGGAATAAAGTACACAACTGCTTGCCTCCTTCCACTCAAGAATATTTACCTATGCTGCTGATAAAGATAGTACCTGAAAAAAAGAAATGCATTAGTGTTGTTCACAGCTGTCCCAGGAGATACACACACACACACATACACTATACCACACAGGCCACTTATTTTTCTCTTATGAAACCTTTCAAAGTCGGTAAAACATCCAAAAAGGGTATGATAAAAATTTGCAAAGAATTTAGAGATGTTTCTTCTCACTAACATCTGAGTCATTCTCCTTCTTGAAAATACTTTTGATTACCACTTTTCACAAAACAGTTCGTTGGGATTAGTAAATGAATGCAGGGACTTGGTGCCCATTTCTGAGCATTAGTT